AGAAAACGTGTGGTGCGAGACTTAATTGTTCTATATCTTCTGCCAGATGGTAAGAGTTAAAAAAAGTTATAAGCAGGATGGGAAGAGTCTCTCAGGATCCTGTGTGTCTTCCTCAGACAGCGGGATGTGAAGATGTCATCCAGGGTTGGTAGCTGGAGCCCGATGATATTCTGGGCAATTTTAATGGTTCTCTGAAGAGCTTTTTTGTCCGCTACAGAGCTACTCCCAAACCATGCCAGAATGCCATAGGTTAGGACACTCTCAATGGTGCTACGATAGTAGGACAGAAGTAAATGCTGAGATAAATTTAACTTGCCAAGCATTCTCAGGAAATACAGCCTCTTCTGTGCCTTCTTCACTAGCATGTTGGCATTTATATTCCATGAGAGGTCCTCTGAGATGTAAGTGCCCAGAAATTTAAAACTACCAACTCTCTCCACTTCCTTGCCATTATGTACACTTATCTTCCCTCCACCAAGAACTACTGTATTTTTCGCACCATAAGACGCACTTTCCCCCCACAAAACAGGGGGGTGAAAAGTCTGTGCATCTTATGGAGCGAAGAAAACAGATATTTTCCTGTTTTCTTCTCCTAAAAAATTGGTGCGTCTTATGGAAAGGTGCGTCTTATGGAGCGAAAAATACGGTAACTTTCCTCTCTGCAGGGCCTGGAAATCCAAGGGCCTGATGTACAACCAGCACCAGGAACAGAAGAATAGGAATTTATATTGTTGTTGTATCTATTATAACTCAGAATCTGGCAGAGTGCCACAAGGATGATAAACATCCTTATCTTGCAAAACCTGGAGGAAAAAAGACCTGAGACACAAAGAATCTGGTGCACCGAGGTCCTGGAAAACCAGAGTCCTCTACTGTAGAGTACACTTTCAATTCTTTCCTTCCTTTCATCTTAAGCATGTTCAACTCTAACAAATGTTATGGTTCAGTGACCTTGCTTGGCTGGAGAGCTGGCTTATTATTTTTCAATAATTTGACTTAATAAAATTTTAGCTATATTTTCTAAATTGTCTCTTAGAAATCATAGCATTGTAGAACTGAAAAAGTTCTCAAAGGTCATACAGTTCAGCCCCCTGCCAGCAGAGGAAATCCACAGCTAAAACATGACTGATACGCGGCCATCTAACTTCTGCTTAAAAATCTCCAGTGACAAATAATCTACCACCCACTGAGGCAGTCAGTTTCTTTTCATGTTGAATGGCTTTCAGGAAGGTATTCCTAATATTCAGTTGAAATCTCCTTTCTTATAACTTAAATCCATTATTTCCAGTGTGGCTGCAAAAAACCCAAGAATACCCCGTCTACCACCTGATAGACCTTAAAATACTTGAAGATAGTTATTCACATTGAATCTTCAGCCTTTTCTTCTCCAGACTAAAGATGTCACATTTCCTCAGCTTTCACTCATAAGGTTTGCTTTCCTTACCTCTTAGCATTCTGGCTGACCTCCTCTGGACACAGTCCAGCTTCTTGATACTCCTGCATTTTAATATGCTGCTTATAATAAACACATGCTATGATCCTTCATACCTAGTTTACCTGTCATACCTAATTTACATGCACCCCACTCAATAGTATGAGGATGCATAATGTTCATTAGCTGTATAAAAATTCTGCTGCTCAAGATACTGTGGAGGAATGAAGAATCAAAGAACTTGAGAGCAGAAAAATAAATGCCACAGATCGAGGAAGCATAGCATGAGATGTTATCACTGCAAGATATTGACACAAATTAGAGACAAAAGAAACGAATGAATTCAACAAAAACTATTTTTGTAAACAAATACAAAGTACTGTATACTCTTGTGTGATGTAGAATGCTTCAACACATTATTGTTTGCTCTCTCACCATCACCGCCCACAGAGACTTGAATGCTATACAGAGGGAAAGTATTTGATTTTTCAGAAGGTAATAACCCTGAAGAACTGTTTTTTGGCCAGTCATCTAAAACAGAGACAGTGGCTCAACTTTCTTCTTATCTAGATTGTATTTGTTAGAACTGTTGGTTGTGGCTTG